CACAACAAAATGTTTTCTTCTTGAATATCTGGAAGCTTTCCCTTGTTTTCAGGTCTTTGGACATGCGGTTCCATTTGGCTAGGAAATTCTTGGCTCTCGTCTACATTCAGTTAACTCTTACTCCTCCTGTCACAGCTAAATGCGACTCGACTCATTTATTCTCTCTCCTACTATGTGATAGGCATTGTGGTTAGCGCTAAAGATACAGTGAGAATTAAACGTAGACACAGCCCTGCGCCTCACAAAAGTTAGATACTCTAGAGGGGGAGAAATATTCTTCAAATAAATATGTCATTCAAATTTAAGTACTAATAAAAAGAAAGGCTTTAAAAATAAAAGATATTTATGGTTCTGAAAGAGCTTATAAAATCTGATCTAATATAATAGGTCAGAGAAAGTTTTCTGAAATGATGACTGGTTCATTCTAATAGTTGAGCAAAGATATAAAGGAGAAATATAATTTAAGGGGTAAGTAATGAACAACATAAACAGAAAAAGGGGGGACCTGTGGAAATCCACACGACCCGAAGGAACGTGAAGAACCAAGGAGCTGAATGGAAGCCAGGGTGGGAAAAGCAACGTCTGATGTGGGAGGGATGAAACAGGGAGAAGCCACTCCGTGAAGGGCACTCGGACATGTACAATGTGGGTCTTAAACAGAAGAGCAGCTGGAGGCCACTGGCATGTTTGAGGCAGGGACATAATGCGTCCAGATCTCTGGTTTGAGGAGACCCCTCTGGCAGTTGTGAGGATGGATGGGAAGGAGACAAAAGTCGATATGGAGACAGATTGGAAACTATGGCAGTACTCTAGACAGAGATGGATGATCGATGATCCTGACTCAGATTTAGATGCTGGTGATGGAGAAGGGAAACAATAAACATGTTGGAGAGAGAACCTTGACCAGATGAAGTAACGGACTGAAAATGTGTGATGAGAGAGAGGGAAGTAACAAAGATGACTCCCCGGTTTGAGTTCCAAGACTGAGTGGAGGTCATACCATTCACAGAAATAAGAAAGACCAGAGGAGAACCGGGTTCGAGGGAAACAAGCATGACGTTGGCAGCAGATATATCGAGACAGGGTGTCTTTATGCTGTGCAAAGTGAGATATGAGGAGGACTGTTTGATGAACTGTCCTGGAACAGGGGAGGGATCTGGATCAGAACATAAGTTTGTGAAATTCTGTGTAAGTAGCAGACATGAAGCAGCGGGCATGAATAAACTCATCAACTGAGAGCGCGTGATAGAAGAAGCTGTTAAAAGCAAACCTTAGGGAAATTCAACATTTAATGGTTTGGTAGTGAAGGGTGAACTGACAGAAAGGTCCAAGAAGAACAGTGCCAGAGGTAGCAGGAAAACCGGAACTTGATGCCAAAGAGCCCGTATGATGATTCGGTGGAGTGTGAGGAGTAGAAGCCAGACGGTTGAGGGTGGAGGACTCAGTGAGTGTAGATTCTTTGAAAAGAAGGAGAGATATAGAGCAGGATTTTGTGAAGTTGATGGAAAAATTTTACTGCACCTCAATGAAAGGCATATTTATCAGAAAATTGATTTGAAAGGAAGCCGAATACACAAGAGAAAGGAACATTTGATGATAAGTGGAGGGTTCAAAACAAATGCAGGAAATGATCCCCGAGCACCCATCACATCCTACACTTAATTTTTTCTTAATTCTGACTACACTAATTATTTCCTTTTTAATATCTGCATTCCTCATTAGACTGTAGTGTATGAGGGCAAGAATCACCTTTGTCTCATTTGCTTCTGTATTTCTAGTATATGTCACAGTACTCAGATAGGAGGCATTAATAAATGTCATTTTTAATTGCACGTGAAAGTGAATGACATTGGAGGTACATTTAATAAAATAGAACATCCCAGAAGTCTTATGAGTCTAACAGGTGCATATAAATGTACACACACACACACACACACACACACCATGGTTGTCAATTTTTAGGCTAAAATTAAAATTAGTATCATTACATTAAGCAGAAGCTATTTGGGCATTAAGACCAGACGACCTTAGATTGAGATAGAAATTGAAAGTCAACCAAGAACCAAGAACTCTCCAGAAATAGATGAGCAAGTCCCTGAGTCATTTCTGTGCAGAAAATTGAGCCCTGATCACACCCAGGAAACAAACGGTGAAAGCCCAACCTGTTGGGACAAGTGGGCGCAGCACTCCCGCCAATCCAGGGGAACCCCGCATAACAGGACTCTGCGTCTGAGAAGGCTTGATGACCTACACGTCAAGAACAGTTTTTGAAAAGAAAACCTTCATTTTCTTTCTGGAGGCAACATAAATGCCTCATGTTGGGAATTCAGTTGATGGAACAGAAAAGAAATCAGATGTGCATCCTTTTCCGGCTTTGCCAGTTTTCTAGACAGGTTCTCTAGTCCACTCTCGGTTTCTTCATCTGTGAAATGGGGATAATCATACCTCATCAGGTGGTTGAGTTAGGTAAAGAGGATAATGTATCATATCAAAGCACCACACTCAGAAGGGCTGTCCGCTTCCCTGACCTGGATGTTTCCATTCCCGCCGTGCCTTCTGACACAGGCTATGGACTGTGATGTTCACCTCAGGAAACGGGATGACATGCTGTGCCTAGGACTTCCCAGAGGAGCAGAGGACATTGTTGCTGATGGTGTTTTGTGAAAGACACAGAACAACTTAAACTAGGGGTTAGCCAACTACAGCCAGTGGGCCAAATCCAGCCCACTCTCTGTTTGTATTTTTGTTTCTTTTAAGACCCACAAGCTAAGAATGGCTTTTATGTTTTTAAATAATTAAAGAAAAAAAAATCAAAGGAAGATGAATATTATATCACATGTGAAAATGGTATGAAATTCAGGCTTCAATGTCCACAAATAAAGTTTTATTGGAACGTAACACACTCACTTGTTTACATATTGTCTGTAACTGCTTTTGGTTCAACTGTGGCAGAGTTGAGACTTGTGACAGAGCCCTCTGGCCTACAAAACGGAGAATATTTACTCTCTGGTTCTCTACAGAAAAAGGTTTTTCAAGAAAGAGTATAGAAATTGGGGGTGGGAGAGAAGGTGATTTTTTTTTTTTTTTTTTAATCCTCACCTGAGGATATTTTTCCATTTTTTGAGTGAGAGGGAGAGAGAGGAAGGGAGAGAGAGTGAGAAACATCGATGTGAAGGGACACATCGAGTGGCTGCCACCCGCACGACCAACCAGGGCCGGGGACAAACTGCAACCGAAGTACGTGCCCTTAGCGGGAACCGAACCCGGGTCTCTCCAGACCACAGGCCGACACTCTAACCGCTGAGCCAAACTGGCCAGGGCGATTTTTTTTTTTTTTAAGTTATGGGCAAAGTGCCTGTCATATAGTAAAGGCTCAATAAACAGATGTTGTTCTTGGTGTTTCTTTATTCAGTTATTAATTGAACAAATAATTACTGAATGCATCCTATGTGCCAAACACTGCTCCAAGGGCCACAGAACTATCAGTGAACAGAGATAAAAATGCCTGTGCTCACTGGACACACAGTAAGCAGATAAGTAAACAGATTAAATGTCTGGGGAGAAAAAGTGGTAGAGAATAGAGAGTTTCAGGGTAAGGGTGGTAATTTTTAGATACAGTGGCCTTACGAGACCTCATTGAAAAGGTGGCATTTGAGTGATAACCTGAAGGACACCAGGGAGCCCTGGGGGTGCGGTTGGCATCAGCGGGTAATGTCCCAGGCATGGGGACCACCAAAGAGTGCTCAGTGTGCGCAGGAGGACTGAGCAGTTGGTGTGGTGGAGTGGAGAGAGCCGGGGGGGAACAGTGGGAGAAACGTCAGAAAACTGCCCGGCAGGCTCAGGGCAGCCGTGCAGAACACCCTGAGACGGGAAGCTAGAGTTCTGCGTGAAGTGATGGCCTGGCTGCCATTAATCTAGGGCCACCTGGCTGCTCCAGGAGAGTAGATTCTAGAATAGCTGGGGCAAGAATAAAGGAAGCTATCGCCATGGTTCTGGGGAGAGGTGATGGTGACTTGAGATGGTGGCGACGGTGGGAATGGATATTTGGGGTATATTTGGAAAGCAGAGCCCGTAGGAACTCTTTACTGGTATACCCTTTACTGGTAGATAGGATGTGGATTGGGAGAAAAAGAAAAATCCAAGATAACTAGATGACTCCACATTTTCTGCCCCAAGCTGCTGCTGGAGTGATGATGGAGCAGTCATCAATTTAAGAGGTGACAGATCTGGGAGACATATGTTCGCCGTTGTTGGATGATGGGGGAGGGCAGAGATGTGCAGGAACGGGGCAGGGATGATGGTGACGCCATGGACGTGTTAGGTTAGAGATGCTCCCAGCAGAAATATGCAGTAGCCAGTTGGGTACAGAACTCTGGAATTGAGGGAGAGTTCAAGGGCTGGAGATATATGGTCATAAGTCATCTACGCATAGATGGCATGTGGTTGTATAAAGAAGAGAAGATTGTATAACAGTATTTAGACAACAGTTTCAAATCCCTGGCCAGAGCCCTTCAAGAAACAGAAAAGACAAGGAGAAACTGAGGAAATGCCAGACTGGAGGAGATAAAGACGTCATGACCACAAAATACAACAGGGGATCCTGGACCAGAGAAAGGACTTTCATGGGAAAACAGAAATTCCAAATGAAATCTGTTGTCCAGCTAGTGGTATTGTACCGCTGTTAACTGCTGTGTTTTAGGGACTGTACAACGGTTATATGAGATGTTAACATGCAGGGAAGTTGAACGAAGGGCATCCACACTCTCGACACCATATTTGTTAATCTTGTGTGAGTCTAAAATTATTTCAGAGTAAAAAGTAAAAGAAAATGAACAGCAACAAAGTTTCTGGTAGCTCCTGAGTGTTGGAAGTGAAATTATGACTGGCATTGCGGAAGAATGGTTGGAAGGGGGTGGGGGTCCATATCGGTAATATTAGTCATTTTGAAATCTGACATGAGAATAAGTCCTGTCCTTGTCTCTGTTGCAATTGCTTTGCAGGGTGTGTTGGGTGCATCATGTAACCGGGATGTGGGTGTACCCTTTACTGGAACACATTGGCCCCGGAGCCAGAATCATCTTCTTTGGGTGTACTACCATCTTAATGACCTTTTTGTACCTGCTGGGAGAAGTTCTGAACAGCTATATCTGGGATACGCAGAGAAGTAAGTATTGTTTAAAGGAGCATAAGAGAAGAGAATTGGGGTCTTAATAAGCATGTGCAGAGACTGAGGAAAATTCCACAATAATACAGGGTCACTTAGGAAGAGTTACCTTTTATAACAACAGTGTTCATTTAAGAGATCCTGGCAGTTACCTGAAAGGTGCATCACTCATGTTTTCTTTTTAACTAGTAAAATATCTACATCTAAGAGAAAAGAAGCACGTCTATAAAACTTGATAGTGAGAAATGTAGTGATAACAGAAAAAAAAATTAGGGAATTCACTGATTAATAAAATACTGCCTTAGCTAAAGGCTGCCCCAACTAAATGGATAAAGTATGAAATGGAACCAGACTTGCTAGAGGCCACCCAGATCTTCACTTTCACACCATCCTCTCCATGGGTGCAGCAGCCTGAGGCCCATCTCAACACCATCCTGCTAGACATCCAAGCAGCACAGAAAGCCCAGGCCACAGTGATCCCTCAGTGACTGTCGTGCTCAAGGGCTGGACCTGGCAAAGAAGCACAGGCATGAAAGGGTAAACTTCATTGTTGCAAAAACTCTCTTAATCTACAATTTGATTTCTCTTGTTTCTGTTTATGGCAGAGCCTCCATCTTAACCAAGCAATACTAAACCTGTCCAAAGTGTATGTAAGATAACCTAAGAATGGGAAGGTGGACAAAGCAACAGCCCAGATATGTAGTGACTTGAGTCCTGCATGAAAATACATCCAAAGGCAAGATGATGTGGGGGTTTTAGAGAGCTCTGGGCATCTCCTCTGAAACAGGCACAACATTCTAGACATCACCAGAAAATGATCTATGTTCCACAAACCCCAAGTACCCCCCTTTGTGCCCATCACCATGCCAGGAATGTGATCTAATTAGACAAATAAAACAGTCATTGCATGCCATTGAATCGGACCTCTTTTGTGTGTGGATCTTCTAAGATGGTATGTGTCAAAGTGTTAACCAATGTTAAATGGCCCGGAGGAATCTGAGGGTCTCTTTGCTCGGCAGCTGGCTTGATTTAAATAAGTGGTCTATTAGAAAAAGTGTCAAAATTTTTTATTCAGTTCAGGCCACAGCTTGAGGGACCAGAAATTAATAATTTTCCTTTCTATTCAATGGGAATAGTAATCTTTCTCTACTAATTAACTTATAAAAGTATTTAGTTAACTTTCAAAGTGTATTAAAAATGAAATGTAAATGTTCTTCGCTCTTTGGGAGAAAGACCATATTTCAATGTAAGCGAATACTGTATGTCCAATATATGTTATTCAGGAAGTATTTATGACTGCCTGTTTCCCCTTGATTGGCTTGATTCCAATGGTCATTTGGTCATTGTTCTATTACTTCTAAAAGAAGGTAACCTGAAAATCAGGGGAGAAAAAAAAAACACCCCAGTCTAGATTAATATACTACTACATTTTAGCGTGTTGAGTGAGAAGTTAAAAACGAATAGTGAAACTACAGATTTATTCAATCATCTGTCCATTTAAGTTGTGACATGCTCTTCAGCAACTTGAGTTAAAGTTGACTAACACATTTTGTAACTCACGTCAGATATAGAGATTAATTTTATGTGCAGGGGCCCATCCAGTTAATCCCATGGAGACAGATGTTTAATGCCAGTAGTCCTCTTTTTCATACCTGAGAGTCACAGCATGATGGCTTCCTCCAAGTCTTACCTGCCACAGAGTGTTGTTAGGCCTACAGAGTGGGACTTAGGTTTGGAACCAACATTTTAGAATTGGGAGATTTCACATAAAGGCCAGATTTTTTATCTTCTCGAGTATTTTAAGGTCTGGCATCACTGAGCCCACTGTTCTTTTCTGGCAACAATGGCTTGCAATTGAGTGTCAGTTGCCCCCTTTAGGTGGCTGTTTAATTTTCCCTGGTCCTCACCTGGCCACTTCGCTCAGTCACATTAGCCGCCTGGTTCTGTAGATAATTGAATTTGAAACTTGCAATTAAACGCTGTGTGTGTGTGTGTGTGTGTGTGTGTGTGTGTGTGTGTGTCTAGAATGAATTGAATACAGTCAAGTATAGTATTACAATCCTAGTCCATTTACTAGACCCCAAACAAAATTCCCCTGAGAAGCAGGAATACCACATTGCAGCCCTCTTCCTGAGTTTTAATGGCTCAACTTCCTCCACTCGGTTATGTTTCATTGGCCTCAACTACAAGATGAAATCACATTATTACAGAATCTTAGAACTACAAGAGAGATAAGAAATCATCTAAGCCATACCTTTCCTTTTATTAAAAGGCAACTGAGGCCCAGAAATCTTAAGTAACCCACCAAGAAAAGGTGGTTGCAGAGCCAACCCCTTCTGATGGATGCTCAATCCCTTGTTATCTCTAGTGAACCATCAGAATGTCGCCCGAGGAAAATCAGACATACGAGAGTTCAGAAAGTTCGCTCAGAACCATGGTCCTGGCTTATAAAATAACAGAATAGACCAACCTGATATGGACCATGAAAAAAAAAAAGCCCTTAAAATAGGCTAAATTATTAGATAATCATTTACTCTTTTTGAAAGAAAGTAAATCCACGTGGCTCTGTGGATACTGGATTAGTTTGCTAGAGCTGGTACAATGAGGTGCCACACACCGGAAGACTGTGACAGCAGAAATGTCCTGCCTCGTAGGTCTGGATGCCGGAACCCAAAATCAAGGTAGTGGAGGGTTGTTTCCTCCCAAGGACTGTGCGGGGGGTAATGTTCCAAGCCTCTCTCCTTGGCTTGCAGGTGGCCATCTTCATGCTCACGTGGCATTCTCGCTTATTTCTGAGGCCGTCTCCAATTTTTTTTTTTTTTACGACATCAGCCATATTTGATTAGGGCCCACCTAGTAACTTCATTTTAACTTGGTAAAGAACCTATCTCCAAATAACAATCACATTCTAAAGTACTGGAAGTTAGTTTGGGGAGACACAGGTCAGTCCATAATACTCTGCCCTCTGCCCCCCTCCCCAATTCATGTCCTTTATTCCTGCAAAACACATCCCCAACAGCCCCCAACATCTTTCTAGGCTCAACTGTTAAGTCCAAAATCTCACCTTAAATATCATCTAAATCGCACACGAGAGAAACTGGGGTATGATTCATCCTGAAGCAAAATTACTCTCCAGTTGTAAACCTGGGAAACCAGACAGAAAATTATCTGCTTCCAAAATGCAATGGCGGGACGGGCATAGAATATACATTTCCTTTCCAAAAGAGAGAAATCACAGGGTAAAAAAGGGTCATGGGTCCCAACCAAGTCAGAAAGCTAGCAGGGCAAATTCCATTCGATTTTAAGGCTTGAGAATAACCCTCTTCAGCTGAATCTCACCAGAAGAGGGCTGGGGCCCTGCATCCTTGGCCCTGGGCAGCAGCCCTGCCCTCTGGCATCAAGAAGGATCCAGCCCCTGAAATGCCTTTGGAGTCACTTTCCTTCATTTCATCCTGTCCCTTTCTGGGAGTGTTTCTTGCTGGTACAAAATTCTCAAAACCCCTTTGGCTTCCCATGTAATTCATGGGGGTCCAAAGCATCAGACAGAGGGTCCCCCACAGGTCTTTCCTGGCTCCGCTGAGATCATTAATTGGATCCACAAGTCTCCTGCCTCAGCTCTTTAGCAAACCGTTGTCCAACCACATCCTTGGCCTTCTCTTCCTCTACGGTCCTGGGGATTAGGAAGGACTTCAACCCATGAATTTGGTGGGGAATGCATTTCAACCTACAACAGCTGAAATAGTTCTATACTTTAGAATTTACTCCAATTTCAGTGTGACTGGGGTGACAAGACTTATTAATGCCAAACTTCATAGGACTGGGAATGAGAGTGTCCCAGGGTGAAAGGTTGGGGTGAGGGCAGAAAAAGCAGACAGAGGGACAAAGGAGAGCAGAGCCAGCCCATGTGACAGAAACTTCCATCTTTCTCCTCCACGAGCTGCCCATCCAGCTCATGACCACACAGGCCCACCGCGGCCTGCGGTGTCCGGCACTGCCCTCTGGTTGAGCCCCCTCCCAGGCTGGGGCGATCACAGGGGACTGGGTCTCTCGGGGTCAATCAGCTCTTCCTCTGTGTTCCCTAAAGCACCTCCAGCCTCAGCTTTGTGACAGGTTTCTTTCAGCTATTTGTGTGGAAATTATACCTCTGGTCCTTCCAAATATTATTTACAGCTGTCTAATTTTTTCCCTCCATCTCCAAGCTGCCAAACGAAAGTAGGTGGGGAGCCATTTTCCCTGTCTGGGTCAGTAAACACCCCCTGTCCTCCACCCCTACTTTTGAAGATTCCACTCTTGCTGCCAAGTCAACCCATCTGCAGGAAAACACTCAGGAGGAAACAGAGTTGAAGAAGAAAAGCAAGCAGTGAGCTCCTGATAGCTGCCCCACAGGGATGTACATGGGATGAAGTGGAGGCTCAGTCCTGAGCCTGTTTGAATGGAAGCTGTGCAGTGTTTTTCTGCCTTTGCCTTGGTTACCCAACAACGAAGGCATTGCCTGCCTCCTCCCGCCTCAACCCCACTCCTCCTCCCTTCAGATGTCCTGACTCCTCAATTTGAAGTTTCCTTATTATGATTCTGAAAATTACTTTGGAAAAAGTGTTACAGATCTCTGCCAGTTCCTTAGTCATGAAAACCAAACCTAAGAGAATGTCTAAGGACACCTGTTCAAAGCATGTTATCCACATTCCACGGCCACCACCCTGACCCCAAAACACACACTGGGAGCCGTGGCCGGAGGGGGGGTCATCTCTCCTGACGAAGCCCTAGCATGGTGACCCTCTGTGGTTAGGCTTTATGGTTTTTTATATGGTGAAGTTCTATAATCTGTTCTGCTTTCCCACTAGTCCAGCCTGCTGAGGCCTCCTCCATGTTTACTGTTTAGTAATCGATCCAGTAAAGTTTAATTGAGCTCCTGCTATGAGACAGACACTGTGTTAATGTGCTAGGGATATAATCTGAAACACAACAGTTAAGGGCTCTGCCCTCAGAGAGCTTGCAGCTTATAAAAGAATACCAACAAAGCCTTCCAGGCAACATTTGGGGGTTCTTTTGTTCCAGCAAAAATTCTCTGACACTTTACTATCAGAAGAAAAATCTTTAGCTAGAAAAAACAAAAAAAAAAACAAAGAAGTGGGGAGCATTTGCCAGATTTAAATTTAATTCATGAGAATGGCTTGAACATTTTTATCTCCAGGAAAATGAAACATCAGATGAGTCTCTCAGGAAGAAAAACATAGTGTACTAGCTTGGCCTGAACAAGGGAGAGCTTGAGTTTAAGTACAGACTGGTACAGAAATAAACAGTTCTGGGGGCTAACAAGCCTTCTGCGAGCTTAGAAAGATATCGACTTCTTGACTTTTGACAATCCAGACTCCTGGTCTTGGGAAGGGACAGGAATAAAATTAAAATAAATAAGGTCTATTTGAAAGGCATCCGCTGTACACCTCCAATTGCTAGAAGCTGGTTACAAAGTAGTCTGTCTGGTTGGGGTTTCTGTGCAAACTCAACAAACTCAATTGAGTCAAGAACTGACTTGAGTCCCTCACTCCCAGAAGCTGCAAGAACTGGGTGTGTCCCAGAGATGTTATGTTCTGATTTGGGGGAAATGGGTGGGGAGAGAGGTCACTGAGGAAGTTTCTGGAGAAAGCTATAGATGACGTTCCTGCTCAGCCGGAGAAAGGGTGGGTGCAGGAGGGTGGATGAGAAGTGTAGAGAGAAGAGGTTGGTTTTTTTTTTAAGCAGCTTGGCAGAGCTGCTCATAATTTATTCTGATGTTTAAATAAAGTACTTTGCCTGTGTTTTAGGTATGGAAGAAGAGAAAGAGAAGCCGAAATTGGAATGAGATCGAAGCCTACATGGAGAGCTGTGTTGAGCCAGCTCTGAAGCCCCTGGGATAGTAGCAGCACAGGAGAGGGAGTTTGGAAGGACAGGAGGAATATGCGCCTCCACCTGCTGGCCCGGAGGGAGATCAGCTTCAGAGAAACACCCGAGATAGGAATAGAACACAGTTGTCCCCCAAATAACTCCCCCTCGTTGTTTGTTGAAGAACTCTTTCCAAATCTATGAGTGATGATCACATCTTTTCTTCCCTCTTCTACTTTCTAAAACTAAAATTGGTCATTGGATTTTAATGTGTGCAATCGTACTACCATCAAGTATAGAATTCTGTAGTTTCTTCCGGAGAAGTTTGTGAAAATCAAAGGAGCGGAGTGGAGCAAGGCTTCACTGTTCGTCCTGCAGGAACTGGAATGACAACCCTGGGCCACAGGCAAGTCTGGTGGGAGTGTGGCAGGTGCAGCGATGCCACCGCTGCCGCAAACGGGCCATGTTAGTAAAAAGTACATCGATTTAGTTTGACCCCTGAATGTTTTTGTATCTCATGACTTAATCTTGTGAAATCTTTCCTACATGCAAACTATAACTTGAATAAAGACCAAGCAAACCCTAGTCTGATGTCTGCATGGTACATCTCAACTCTAACATCATTGGCGTCTTCTTTCCTACCTTGTTTCTATTACCTGTTGAAGATGGGTTTACTGAACCTGGTTCTTACGATTTGTTGATTGTAAAATGTGTATGTTTTTGATAAAGCTGTAAGAAATAATTTTTTGAAAAAAAAATTTTAACTATGAAAATATATTTTATAGCTCTATGACAATCAATTCTTAGGACCCAGGGAAATGTGCCATTTTCAAGGAAAATTAATTCAATAAGAATTAGAAAGCTGTAATGGACTTACATTCATGGAAGATATTTTTTAATCTTCTATTAACTATCTCCCAAAAAGGAGTTGGATCCAGAGTGTTTATGAGGAAGTTCTTGAAAACTTTCAAGTAACAATTCTCATGCTATTTAAATCTTTCCAAAATCACAGAATGATGACACACTTCCCAAATTATTTTTCAAAGTTAATATAACCCTCAAAACAAAGCCAACATAGCAAGGAAAATAATTTCACTTGCTTTAACTAAAATGCTAGCAACACCAATCCAACAGTACACAAATAATTTTTCAAAACTAAATAGTTATTCTAAAAATTCAAGGATGGCTTAATATTAAGGTTTTTATTTTAAAACCTTGTCTCAATAATGCACAAAAGAAAATAAATCATATGAATTTCTCCATTGTTGCTCTAAGACATTTGAAAATTTTTAACATTTATTTCTGATAATACCATTAGTAATATAAAAATATCCCATATCATGAGAAGGAATAATCATCCTAAAAACCAAAGGCATTTCCTTCTAAGGTCAGAAATAAGATGTCCATGACTCTGTTATTGTTATTGTTCTGAGGTGTTCGGGAATGTTAGGTCTAGCACCAAATGACCTAGACAGAAAACGTTTTAGATTAAAAAAAAGGGGGGGAGTTTTATGTAACTATGTAACTATAGAATGGATGTTATTAATGGAAAAGAAAAATGTGGTTAAAAAATAACAGGAAAGGAACAAAACCACGATTTAAAAGGAAAACATTTTTCCAGATGACTCTCAGAAGTAGAAACCTCAAGGAGTGGAATATTTGTAAGGAGTCTCTGGAACAATTCTCCTGGGACCCTGTGATTCCCCATCTTCTCCAGCAAATAACACTTTCTCACTTTGGTCACCAAGCTGACACCTAAAGAAGTTGATGTCTGTTGGCTTTAGATATAAAACTGGTTCAATGTACAATATAGCAGTTTGAATGTATGCCTTAGTGCTATTTGAAATACAACTATATGATCATATTTGGGGTTTGGTTAGTTTTTCTCATGGTGGGTCATTTTTGCTTTGGGAACTCTGCTTAGAACCCTGGCCACACATCCTGCAGGTGACCCAGGGCTGCCTCTCCAGGTGTGTGGAATGCACTAAGACATGTCCATCCACCCAGAGCTGCTGATGCACCCACTGACCAAGTAGGGTTTTTTTTTTTAAATTTAGCAGAAAAACAACTGGAAAGTCTTGAAGAGGACAAGTAATTAAAGCATACAGTGCTCTTAAAACATATTATAGCAATGCAATCATTAAAATAGTGTGGTATGGCTCAAGAACAGAGAGAAAATTGAACAAAATAGAAAGCAAATACAAAGCAAAATCCATACATAAACTTTCAGATAGATTAAATAATAAAATGTTCCAAAAAGATATAAAAGAATGTAGATGAATATATGAAAAAGTATGTAACATTTATGTATGATGTATATATTAGGAAATTGAAAATTATATAGAACATATATGAGGAAATTGAATGACACACATATATGTGTATTAGGAACCTGAGCCTACAGGCCTGGTAACTGACATAGTGTGGGATAATTGAGACAAAACCATCTAAGTAACGTTCAAGACAATGATAGCACCATTTCCTTATATAAGAAACCTGGAGAACTAGGTTGGGATGAGATTTGATGATGAACTGAACTTTGAATTTTTTCTGTATGTACGTCAAGGGCTATTTCATAGTAATGTTGGAACATAGTCTGCATTCCAGATAATTGTGGAGTTACTAACATTAGTGGGTGATAAAGAACAAAAGATAGCAATGACAGAATATTACTTCAAAAATAGAATTTATACCTATAAAACAAAAGCTACGAGTATAATATGAATCAATGTGAAAATTCCTAGTTGGGGCTAATGCTGATTCTGGGTTAGCATTAGATAGGGCCAACCCCCAGCCCATCACGGGAAAGAAGGAGAAAGAAACACGTGTCCTTGGAAGTGAGTTTGCAGGACAAAGAACAAAATTTATGGAATTCTTTTTGATGGCTCAAATTTTCTCCTTGAATTGGCTGGCGAGCAGGAGAGGACAAATGATGGGCTGGAGTTTGTAATATACCCTGAGGGCAGCTACGGAAACTCAAAAGGCTTTCTCAGTGGCACTGATGGCCTGGAGAGGTTGCAGATCATTAATTTACCTTGGTGATAACAAGGACCATTTAGAGATTTTCTCCAAGAGCCCTCAACAGACCAGGCAGAGTAAAGAAGTTGAAAATCTGGTTTAGAAGAGTAGGTGGTATAAAAGACAAGCCGGTGAATATCAAGAATGGTTGGAAGGATGGATTAAGGAGAAAAGAAAGAGGATCAATGTTGTGACAACAAAATGATCCAGAGACCGGCAGTCTCAGTAAAGTTGAAAAGTAGATGTATCAGGGAAATGAGGGCAGTCGACAGGAAGTCATGATCACAAATGAGCTGTTCAACATTTCAGGGATGCAAGAGATCATACTATTTCTCACTTTCTTTAGTTAACGTGGTGTGGGAGTAGCGCCCCACTCCCCAAAGATGCCCATGTCCTAGTCATCAGAGCCTTTGAATATTAACTGTCATAAAAAAATGGGCTTTAGGTGTGATTAAGGTAAGGATTTTGAGATGCGGGGTTTACACTACATCATCCAGTGCACCCAATGTAACTACACGTGTCCCTCTTAGAAGGACACGTATAATTACATTGGTCACAATGAAAAAAAAAATTGACAATGGTAGCAGAGATTGAAGTGGCACAAGAAAAGGCCACAGCCAAAGAATTTCAGTAGACTAGAAGCTCGAAAAAGACAAGGAAATAGATTCTCACCCGGAGTCACAAAAGTCATTCTACCTTTTTGACACCTTGATTTTAGGACTTCTAACCTCTGTTAGGTAATAAATTTGAGTTTTAAGCCACTAAGTTTGTGGTAATACAGAAAACTGGCACATATATCATTAAGCATTTTTACATATTTATGTGGGCTATTCTTGTTAAGCTAAGAAAATAAAGGATAACAGCCATATGGTAATAACTAAAACTCATGTTTGTGACTTTCTAATAATTGAGTGACCAACACGGTTGTCCCTCATTAAGCCAAACCAATTATCCAGTGTTGACAAGCTGATCCAAGTTTTCAAACTCATCTTATTTATTGAAATGGAAGTGCTGGGGATCACTGATGAAGTCCCCATGGAAACATTCAAAACATTTGGATGCTTTCATGCCTACTCATCAACCAAGCAATGAAAATTTTTGAGGCAGATGACCCTAATTCCAAGTGCAATTCAAAGGAATTTAGAGTAATGGCAAATGCCTTTGCTTGTTATAGAGAGATTTGCCAGGAAGAGAGATAAGCATCTTATGTCCAAGCTTTATGGAAAATATATTTTTTAAAACCTCAGTCAAAACAATCCATGCAGCAGAAGTCTCTCAAGGGAATTTTGCAAGCATGTAAAATCAAACACCACATAAAAGCTTGCCTAGGCCAGACATATTATTTCTTCATCTCATTCAGGTTTAATATTTATTCCTGTGCATTTTGAAATCCAAACTGTCAAAACTCCCTCTCCCTCTCTCCCTTCCTTGGGCCTGGGGAAGACGGGGGAGTGACCTTTACTCACATAGCAAATGCCGTCAGACCTGACCAGTCCCTTCTCTGCTTCTTAGTCCAACACAGAGGGGCTGGGATCAAGCATTGGTCCTGGGTTTTGAGTGGGGATGAAACTGTTAGCTCTTTAGGGAGCTCCCCAAGGACCCCCTTGTGCAATTCCCCTGTCCTCTTCTCCCCTGTTACCTAGGCAACAAGCATATATCCAAACGTCTCTCCCATAGCATGCACCCATCATTCCTCTCCAAGCCACGGCTAAAAACATAGAGTGCCCTGCACTCTCTCTTACAGCTCCATCAACGGCAACACCAAATACTCTGATAGGATAGCTCAGTGGCACACAACCCACCCCAGTTCTTTCTGGGGAGTAAAGGGAACTTGGAAAACAGATTTCAACAGAAGATCTTGGAACAGATAGAAACGTCCCTGCTGCCTTCCTCCCAGGCTCTCCACCAAGGGAAGGAGAGGGGAAGGCATCGCTAACACTTCACGAGACTTCTTTCCAAGGTCTAACATCCTTGCCCCCCGTGTCCTCTATTCTGTAAACGAGCGGGGCTTAAGAAACTGGTTCTTCTGTTGGATGCATTTGTTAGTAAACATCGCAGGATGGGACTGTCATCTAGAAGGCATTTCACTAAACTTAGAATGTGCGACACTTGACAAGTTGTATCCTGACCCATGGACACTAGCTGGCAGTCCCAGGGAAGCACGGGCGGCCCTCATCACCACTGCACCACTGTTTATAATGAATCCTGTATCATGGTCATCATTAATTTTAGAATTTTGGATGATTTTTCCAAGACATATCCTTTAGAGGCAGTTTTGAAGTGAGTGTTCGATTTAAGCTGGCTCAGTTGGAGAGTAGTCTTCACACTAACTAAATTATAATGTAGGAGGCCGCCGTATTGATTCAAGAGTCCAGCTGTAACTCTGGAATAAAGGTTTCTAGGAACAAAGGGTAGGAGGGGTGAGGGGAGGAGGCCCCAGGATGAATGGAGGTGGCATTTGTGAGGCAGGTTTGCCGTCAGCAGCAGTGATCTGCACTCCAGTAGAATGTTAAGGCAAAGTTGAAAGAAGGTATTTTGTGTCTGGGGAGTTTATTCTTCCTGCCATGAGGAAACA